CCGTCTTGGCAGGCACATGCCAGGGGGAGGGGGCAGCGGGCAAGGCACGGAGGGGGCAGCAGGTGCCAGGCGGGGTCGGGGGAGAACGGGACAGGGGCCTGTAGGGTCCAAGCCACAAAGCTGAGCCAGGTGCCAGCCCCATGGCCGGGGTGGGGACACACACGACACACACAGCTGGGCCTTGGACACCCACACGGGGCTCTCCGCTTTCACTGCCGCCCGCGGCTATTTTCGGTCACTCGGAAATGCCGGACTGGGGCAAGCAGAGGGAGGAGGGCACTGCCTTCCCCTGCTGGGGGGAACTGGGCAGACTGGGGGCAGGGCCCGGGGCTCTGGGCACTTGCACGCCACAGGCAGACACGCAGGTCCAGGGTTGCCGGCTGCCCTGGCCCAGCCAAGCCTCGGGGCCACGGTCTCTAGCCCCGACAGAGCAGGTGGGAAGGGGACCCCCGTCCCTGGAGCAGCGCCAGCTCCTGCCCCCCACTGGGGGCACCATGTGACAGCCTGGCTCCTTTGGGGGCAGGCAAGGGTCAGTGCCCGGGAGGGGGAGAAGGGGGCAGGGTTGGAGCCTGGGGGCAGAGAGGGCAGCGGTGCCAGTGCCCAAATCCCCTTGGTGGCCATCGCTCCACATCCCTGGGCAAGACGAACTTTCCTGCGGGCGGCAGAGTTGTGGGGTGGGGGAAGCTGGACCCAGCCCCCATGGCACAGGAGCAGAGGCTCTACCCCCAGTGCCTCCCCCCTGCCCAAAGAACGGCGCCAAGCCCCAGCCTCGCCTTCCAGAGATCATTATTGAAACATCCCAGTGTCCATCGGCCTGGCTCCGGCACCGTGGCACGCGGGCGGCGGGGCAGGTTCCAGGGCTCCTGTGCTGGCACCTGCAGCTTCCGGTGAGGTAGGTTCAGGGTCCCCCCCCAAAACTTTCAGCTTGGGGTGGGGGCAAAGGGGGCGTTGGCAGCCCAGGCACATGGCCGGGGGGGGCTTGGCCAGGGGGGCTCCAGGCTTCTTGCTGGCTCCGCCACTGCAGGGCAGCAGGGACGAGCTCTGGGCTCCAGGGCTGGGCTCTGGTGCCCGGGTGGCATCCTTTGGCTCCTGCGCTGGGAGGGTCTTGCTGCAGGGGAGGGGACGGGAGGGGAAGGGAAGGGGGTGGGTGAGCGACCGAGAACACGTGCCGGCCCCCTCCTCTGGGCAAGGGCCTGCGCCCTGCAGCCATCACTTACCTGATGCGGCTGGGGTCCAGCTTGCTGAAGCCGTTGAGGTGGGGGTTGCTCTTCTGGAGGAGATGGGACCTGGGCAGAGACCACTGCAGGGGGAGAGGAAAGGGGCAGGGGCATCATGAGGTGCTGAGGCCACAGCTGGGGTCCCAGGACCAGAGCCCCAGGGACTGTGGTGGGAGAGGAGGACATGGGCGGTCTCTCACCAGCGGTGCATCCGTTGCTACCCCCGCATGGAAGCCCTGGCGGCACCAGCTCCGCAGCAGCTCCAAGCCTGCAAGGGAAGCCGCTGGGTGAGGAGGGGGGCAGCTGGGCCCTGGGCAAACGCCACAAGGAGAAGATGGGCTTGCTCAGTTCAGCCTGGACGGGTCCAGGGCCCTGCCAAGCTCCCAGGATGCAGGTGGGCACCAGAGCAGCAATGAACTCCATGTTGAACTGGATGGCGGAGCCCGGAGCATCTCTGGGGCCCTGGCGCCTGCCTGGAGCCAGCCCGCCTGCTCCCTCTGTGAGCGGAGGTCCCTGGGATGATGCTGGAGGGGAATGAGCCAGTGCCGGTGCCAAGAGGCAACCCTCGGCCTTCGCCCAGAGTAGCGCCCAGGCCACGGAGCAGGGGACAAACCCCACCACAGTCTCCCACAGCACCAGGCAGGGGCAGCCGACACTGTCCTCAGCTCTAGACCCAGGGTGTGAGGGGGCCAGTGGCAACTGTGGCTGAAAGAACTGGGGTTATTCAGCCTGCAGAAGAGAAGACCAGGGGGATGAGGGCAGGACCCCAGGCTTCAGATCCCCAAAGGGCCAATCAAGGATGGAGACGGGCTTTTCTCTGGCCCGCAGGAGACAGGACGAGGAACAACAGCCTCCAGTTGTGGCAAGGGAAACTGAGGCAGGAGACCAAGAGGACGTGGACCAAGAGAGCCGTGGGTGGAACCTCCAAGCTTGGAAACCAGACCAGGCTGGACGGATGCGCATCTGGGGTGGTTTGGATGCGGGTGCTCCTGCCTTGCGCAGGGGGCTGGCCCAGAGGGGACCTCCTGTGGTCCCTTCCAGCCTGGCTTCCCTACGACCCACTGCACCAAGGACCTGGGGGGGTGATGGCAGAGTCCTGGAGGGGTTAATGCCCAAATGCAGCCCTCTAGGACAGAGGCTGCTGGGAGCCAGACCTGCTTCAAGGCCCATGCTGGGCCAGCCCCTCCCCAGACAGCCAAGGGCACTGGGGGAGGAACCGTGAGGTTTCCAAGGGGTGCGGAGGGGACTTACCTTTGCCCTTGCACAGGTGGTAACGGAGCTCCCACTGGGCCGTGAGGATGTTGAAGTAGCGCGGCTGCTCGAAGAAGCGCAGGTAGCGGGAGGCGCCAGGCCCGGGGAAGACCCGCTCGAACTGCCCACGCCGCGAGAGCTCGTCCTCTGTCTCTGCCAACACCCGCACATCATCCGGCGTCAGCACATCCAGCACCGAGGTGTAGAAATCCTGCGCCCAGGAGCAGCAGGTGTGGGTCGAGAGGATGGCATGGGGGGCCGCAGCCCCCGGGGCCAGCTCTTGGCTTGGTCCTGCACCCCAGCCCTCCCCACTGCTGCCGAGGATGTGGACCCAGGGCTGGGGCTTGCAGCCCAGTGGGTTTAGGTTGGATCTCAGTTTCATAGAAGTAGGGTCGGAAGGGACTTATGAGATCGAGTCGGATCCCCTGCCCTGGGCAGGAATGAGTGCTGGGGTCAGATGACCCCGGCCAGGTGTCTGTCCAATTTCCTTTTAAACACCTCCAAGGAACGGGACAGCACCACCTCCCTTGGAAGCATATTCCATATCTTGGCAACCCGCACTGTAAATAATTTTTTCCCGATGTCCGATCTGAATTTGCTCTCTTCCAGTTTGTGGCCATTATTTCTTGTGACCCCGATGGGCACCCTGGTAAACATCGTATCCCCTATTTCTTGCTGGCCTCGATGAGTTTGTAAGCAGCCACGAGATCATCTCTCAGCCTCCTCTTGTGGAGGCTGAAGAGGTTCAGGTCTCCCAATCAGTCCACGTAGGGTTTTTTCTGTAGGCCTTTAACCAGATGAGTGGCCCTCCTCTGAACCCTCTCCTGCCCATCCACATCCCCCCTGAAGTGCAGCGCCCAGAACTGGACGCAGTACTCCAGCTGCGGCCTGACCAGTGCCACATAGAGGGGCAGCATCACCTCCCTGGACCTGTTTGTGATGCACCCACTTATGCAAGAAAGGGTGCAGTTAGCTTTACTTGTTACCTCCTCACACTGGTGGCTCACGTTCATTTTGGAGTCGACTATGACTCCGAGATCCCTTTCCGCAGTCGTGCTGCTCCGTATGGTCCCTCCCAGGCTGTAGGACTGTGGATGACTCTTCCTTCCCAGGTGCAGCACGACACTTCTCCTTGTTAACCTGCATCCTATTCTGTTCGGCCCATTTCCCCAGCCTGTCCAAATCAGCCTGGATTCCTCCCTGCTCTCTGGTTTATGTACCTCCCCCCGTAGTTTGGTGTCATCAGCAAACTTGGTGCTTTCTACTCCCTTGCCCAAGTCACTGATGAAGATATTGAATAGTACTGGTCCCAGGACAGGCCTTGGGGGACTCCATTGCCTACATTTTTCCAGGTAGAAACACCCATCCACCACCGCTCTGCGGGTGCATCCCATAAGCCAATTTTCTACCCACCGGACTGTGTAATAATCTACATTGGAATTGCAGAGATACTTCTCGGGAGAGACTTCTTCACAGCCTGAGCAGGGAGACTGCAGGGGTGACACCAGGGAAGAGGGGGACTGTTCAGCACTGGAGGGTTCACAGAGAGGCTGGATGGGGATGATCTAGGTGCACCCAGTGCCCCATAGGGCTGATCCTGCCCCAGGCAGGGGGTTACACTAGACGTGACCTCCAGAGGTCCCTTCCACCCCACTTCTCACTCAGTGGCTCTCAGCAGAGCTCCGAGCCCCAAGCAACCTGTAGGATGTGGAAACTGAGGCACAGAGGTGTCGCCTGCTTGTTGAGGAGGTCCAGGAGAAAAGGAGGGCCGTGGCAGGGCTGAGGCCTCAGAGCTGCAGCCAGGGGGGCACAGGGGCCTGCAAGGGAGGGGGACACGCACGTATGCGCCTCGTACCTGGTTGGGCACCTTCTGCGTCAGGTAATATGCCCTCTTCATCTTCTCGGCCACCAGTTGCTCTGGGGCCGGCCGGGGCTTCTCCCTTGCGGTGCTGCTCAGGCTGTGCGGAGGACGGCGCGGTTACGGCTCTGCCTGTCGGCAGCCTCCCGGCCCAGGGCCCCCGCAGGCTCCAGGGAGGGGTGGCTGCAGCCGAGACAGAATGACCGCAGCCTGCATGAAGCCACAGGCTGGGTCCCCGGTGACACCCCATTGCTCATCTGCCAGGATCCCGGGGCCTCTGTCCGGCAGCACAGATCCAGGCCCCCCCACCCCGGCTCTTGGCTGTAGCCATGGGTTTGTCACAGACCCGGCCGCAACATGTCCCTCCTCCCCCCATGCTGTCCTGGACTCACTGGGCCAGCCCTGCCCAAGCTATTCCTGGCAGCACTGGGGAACGCATGGAATTGTGCCCGTCTCCAACCGACTGCCCAGCTCTGCCCTGGACAGGTCCCAGCCTGGATGCAGGATGGTTGTTCTGGATCCCATTAAGGGGATGGTGCTGCTCCAAGGCCAGGTTAGGAAGTGCCTCAGGGCAGATGGGCAGGGCAGGCAGAGAGGCTGCTCCAGGCCTCTGCTTGGGGCACTGGCAGCAGACAGGATTGGTGTCATCTTGCGGTGGGGCAGGGCTAGCAGTTGAGAGGAGCCAAGCTGCTCCAGACTGATTCACGGGCTCTCTGATGCCCTGTGACACTGGAGCCGAGGCAGGACAGACCTAGAGTCTGACCTGGGAAGCGGCCGCTCTTCTGGGCACTGGCCAGGCCCCATGAAGGCCACGGGTGCTGCCTGACACCTACTCCAAACCCTGCTGGCAGCCATGAGAACACAGAGCCCCCCTCTGCTCTCCTGAGCTGCATGGAGGTGGTGCCAGACTGGGCAAGGAGGGAAGCGACTAGACACTGGGCGAGGCACAACGGCCAGGTCAGAGCCCCCTGCACAGCCACGGGCAGTCAGGGCCTTACGCTTCTCCCATAACTCCAACCCATGAGACCTCAGGGACCTGTGGGAAGGAGTGAGGGTCCATAACAAAGCTCAGGATCTCTGCCCTGTTCACAATGTAGCTGGGAGCTGAAGGCAGGGACCAGCCGCGGGAGGAGGATTGGGCCGGGCCCCGGCCCCGACGCACCTGGGGGCGGAGC